TTTTCACGCCAGAGGATGGCATTGTGCTTGCCAGCATGCAGGAGCGGCTTGATAGGGCGATTGTGGCGTCCCTGCTGCAGCGCAAGCAGCAGGACATACGCAGCTTCTTCCAGCCGGTGGGGCAGCCGGCGAGGCAGCCTACCGCCCCTCTGGCCCATTGAGCTGATTTTGGTAAATAAACTTGCTTGGTATGTGGCTGCTGGCATACAGTGCAAAGCAGCCTTCAAATGCTAAGATTTGTGACGTCCCCCGCCACAGCGAACCAGCAGCTACCAGATTTCCCTATTCGCGATAGCGAACAAACCGGCTATAGTGAACATGCCGCCGACCCCCAATGGGTTCACTGTAGCGAGGGAAGACTGTACTCTGAACCAAAGGGTAGGGGAACGTACAGCCGTCTATAATCCTTAGCACTACGGAGACACTGATGAGACAGAGCAACGGGCTGTGCGGCTGGGGGCACTCAAGCTCCCTGAGCTTGCGAGGCAGCGCAGAAGAACAGTTCCGCGCTCACGGGATGCCATGCAAGACTTGACTTGTCCCCAGCGGTCGGGCCGGACGCGAGAGGGAAGCCAGCATTTGACCTTGGCCCTGCCAAGCAGACGGACACAGTACAGTAGGGGAGGGTTCACGCTGCATCCTGAAACAGCCGGAGGTACAGTTGGTGGGACACCAGCTGCCTGCCAATTGCGGCTGGCCCAGCAGCACCCTGGCTTGGCTGCTAGCTAGTGAGGTGTTGCCGCAGCTACGCCATTGGCGCACCTCCTTTTGCCCACTCTTTGGGTGCGCAACACTAGCACACACAGCATGCGCAGCAGAACTGCCTGCTATGATAACGTGCTATACGCTGGCAATTCAGGCTTCAAAGCGCTGCAGATTTTAGCAGGATCTCAAAGAAGATTTATGCAGCACGATCTCCGCTAGTACGTTCAGATCACCAACTCAGTTGGAAATATAGTTGCAAAAGCTCAGCAGGTGGCTATGATATGGTGTCAGCCGCCCTTGACCGCGCCATTCGCCGCGCCCTGGCCCTCGAGCGCACGCTGCAGCGCAAGCCAGATGCAGCAGCCACGCTGTGCGCGGTGAACGCTGCCATTGAAGACATCCAGGCGGCCGCACTCGAGGACTCCTCCAGCCTGCTGCCGGAGCCGCTGGTCAAGGGACTCATGCATCTGCTCACAAGCGGCACGGCGGCGCAGGCGGCATTTGCCGCCACCACGCTCTGGTGGACGATCCCGGCAGGGTCTGAGCCCTTGATAAACGACTCAAGGCTGCAGCAGGTGCGCGGAGGCAACCACCTTGAGCAGTGCAGTCGCAGTATTGAGTGGGTGGTGGCCATGAGTTTGCGTGGCAGGGGCTCAGGCGTGACACACCGCGCCTGGCTCATACGCAGCTCGCGGTTCCGTGCCTCGCACACTGCCCCCGCAGCTCGCCACCTGGCCGGGACTGACCGAAGCCCTGGTGGCCGCCGCGCGGCGCCACCCCGGCCCTGTCGCCATTGATGGCCTCTTGCCGCTGGAGGTCCTCGCCCCATGCCTCTTGAACCACTTCTGCAACACGGCGGCCGGGCGGCGCGCCGTCCTGTCCGTCGGCGGCGCGGGCGACGGGGGCGACGCCGTGGGGCTGCTGCTCGACCTAATGGGGCGCGCGTCGTGGCGCGCCAACCTGCACGGTGACAGAGTCATGATCCTCCACACCCTCAACCGGCTCGCCATGGACAGTCCTGCGGCGTGCGCCCGCATGAGCCGCGACGAGGCCGCCGTCGAGGCGGCCGCGTCGGGGCTCAGTGCAGCTGTCGCAGCCGAAAGCTTCCCGCACGAGGCCATCTTGTTGATGGGATTTGTGGCGGGGTGCTTTGAGCCTGATGGGGCGGACGAGCCCGCGGCAAGCCCGGCGATGGCGGCAGCAGGGCCGGCGGCCGCTGCCGCGGCAGGGGCCGCAGCGCAGCCATTGCGGGCCGCCATGGATGCCCTCCCGAGCTTTGTGGCGGGCGCAGTGAAGCTGCTGGCCGACCCGGTTGATGCGGCTGAAGCGGTGACGTTTGGAGTCCATTACCTGTCCCGCCTGACGACGTGCTCTGCGGTCAAGGAGCGCGCAGCAGGTTGGCGCCCTGCCGTGATGACGCAGGCTGCCCCTGGGAGTCGCGTCGCGGTTCCTGGCGATGAGCGCCTGCCGTCCAGCCAGCCTAGTCGGGGTGTCGGCAGTGCTTGAAGCTCAGCACATGTACAGCGGGCTACAACTTGCACAACGCCCCCTCCCCTCCCCTTCCTGCACCCAACCCCACCACCCACACAGACCTGCTGGTGAAATCCGGCGGCGTGCAGCAGCTGTGCCGCTTCCTGCTGTCAACAACCGTTGAGGACGGGTGCTTGGCTGTTGAACGGCTGCAAGCAGTGGTGGTCTTGCACAACCTGGCATCCACGCGGGCGCAACCCCAGGCGGCGCTGACCGCCACGCCAGCCCTTCTGGCCGCCATCGGGCGCCCGGGGGTCGCAGGGACCAACTTTGGGCGCGAGGCCGTCGCAGCACTCGGTTGCCTCTGCACCCTCGGCAGTGAGAGCCGTGCAGTGCTCACGCGGCTGCTTGCGGGCTCCGCAGCTGCGCAGAGGGGCCTCTCGGAGCACCTGCGCGTTGACGATGACAGCGAGGCGGAGATCGCTGCCAGCTGTCACTGCGGAGCGAATGAGCGTCACTTTCCCATCAGGTTCACCTCCACCGTCCGCGCCGCCGGCCTCATTAGAGATCTGCTGCTGGACCCCTCGATTGATATCGAGCACGCGCGCGCCATCTCCGCCGCGGTGCTGCCCGCGGCCGCGGCAGCCACTCATCGCTTCCTTGATGCGCTGCTGGCCGCCGCCGCCGGCCACCCCCGCGGCATCCGTGCCACGGCATGGCCGCCCCAGCTTGCCGATGCTGTGGAGGCGGCGTGCATTCACTTCGGCGACCCTGACGCAGCTGCTGCTTTGATGTTGGACGCCGCGCCAGGGCTTGGGCTGGCTCTGGGGCGGCTCATTGTAGCCCTCGAGTCGAAACCGGCTGAGTGGTGGGCTTCTTATGGAGACCGTGAGGTTTCAGCGCGCCGCGTGCTGGGCAGCCCAACGGCGGTTGTGGGGCGGATCTTCGCGCTGCTGCAGGAGGATGAGCGGGGGAGGCGGCGGCGACATCATCATCAGCAGCAGGAGCGGCAGCAGGAGCGGCAGCAGGAGCGGCAGCAGGAGCGGCAGCAGGAGCGGCAACAGGAGCGGCAGCAGGAGCGGCAGCAGGAGCGGCAGCAGGAGCGGCAGCAGGAGCGGCAGCAGGAGCGGCAGCAGGAGCAGCAGCAGCAGCAAGAGCAGCAGCAGGAGCGGCAGCAGGAGCAGCAGCGACAGGAGCAGCAGCAGCAGCAGCAAGAGCAGCAGCAGCAGCAGGCACAGCAGCAGGAGCAGCAGCAGAGGGAGCAGCAGAGAGAGCAGGAGCGGGTGCTGCAGCCGCTGTTGCCAACCGCCACCCCACCAGCCCCCGCTGCATGCGCCGGCTGCGGCGCGGTCGAGGCGGCTGACAGCAGCGGCGTGCGGCTGCGGCTGTGCCGTGGCTGCCGGCAGGTGCGCTACTGCGGCGAGGAGTGCATGAGGCGGCACTGGGCCAGCCACCGCCCTGCCTGCAAAGCGGCTCAGGCGCCGAATGCCTCATCACCGCATGGCACAGGGGTCCAGGCTATCTAGCACGAGTAATCTTGAGGTCATCTGTAATGTGATGCGATCATGCCCGTGGTGTGTTCCATGCTCAGCCAACCCTCAGAACCAAACCTCAAAATATGCAATGGTGACACAGGCAGCATGTGCACGTGATGATGTCGTGACAATATGACGCAGCAAATGCGTTGTGGGACGTTGCTAAGGAAAACATCGCAGACCGTCAAAGTTGAATGGCATGAAAGTCATCGTGCTGCATGTTTGAGCCTGTCTGACAAACCTCTACTTTCATCAACGGCTGGGGTGGCTCACAGCGGTTTTGTGCTTAGCGTACTGGAGGCAGTGTTGGGGGCAGATTGGCAAGCAGTGAGGGTCCGGCAGGGGCACAAGCTCTCCAAACTTGTGCGATAGCGCAGAAGAACAGTTGTGCGCTCCCGCGATGGCCTGCAAGACATGATAACTCCGCAGCGGCTCGTCCGGACCCGAGCGGCGAGCCAGCATTTGACCCTTGGCCCCAACAAGCAGATGGACACGAAAGTGGAGGGGTCACGCTGCATTTCAGAACAGCCGGAGGTGCATCTGGTGGGCCATTACCTGCACGCCAGTTAGGGCTTGACGAGCAGCACCCCGACCTTGTCTATTGGCCACCTAGCTGCTGCAGAAGCTACGCCTTTGGCGCCCCTCCTTTTGGACGGTCGAGACCAGCACACACAGCATGCACAGCAGCACTGCTTCTAATGATGACGTGCCGCAACCCAACAACGTTCAGTTGGTATGGTAAGTGCTGCAGATTTCGTTGAGGTCTCTGAGTCTGATTGTACCGGTATACGTGCGAAGGTTTTGCAGCACAACTTCCGGCAACTGCAGGACGCGCAGATCACGATCCCGATTATTATAGTTCGCAAGATCTCAGCAGGTTGCGAAATATGGTTTCAACCGCCCTCGACCGCGCCATCCGCCGCGCCCTGGCCCTCGAGCCCCTGCTGCAGCGCAAGCCAAACACACCAGGTACGCTCCGTGAGGTGCGCGCTGCCATCGGGGACATGAAGGCTGCGGCTACGGCTGACCCCTCGAGCCAGCTGCCAGAGCTGCTACTCCAGAGAATGTTGCATCTGCTATCGAGCGGCACCGCGACGCGTGCGGCGTTGGCCGCCGACGTCCTCTGGAGGGTGCTGTTTGCAGCACCCGAGTCCTCGGTAGAAGGCCTCAGGCTGCCCCAGGTTCGCAGTGCGCGGAGCTAACCGCATCGAACAGTGCAGCAGCAGCGCGGTGGGGTTGGGGGTCGTTGGACTGCATGGCCGGGACTTGAGGCGCGACACAGTGCCCCTGGCTCCCCCTCACGCGGCACATGGTTTCCTTGTGTCGCCCCTACCCCCGCAGCTCGCCACCTGGCCGGGGCTGACCGAAGCCCTGGTGGCCGCCGCGCGGCGCCACCCCGGCCCTGTCGTCTGCGACCCCCTCCTGCCGCTTGACATAACTGTCCCAGGCCTCCTCCACCACTTCTGCAAAGAGGAGGCCGGGCGGCGCGCCATCCTGTCGGTCGGTGGCGCGGGCGACGGCGGCGACGCCGTGAGGCTGCTGCTCGACCTCGTGGCGCACACGTACGCCAGACGCCCGTCTTGGCGTTCCGCGCGGCTGGACGGTGATAAGATCGCACTCCTCCACACCCTCGACATGCTCGCCCTGGACAGTCCGGCGGTGCGCGAACGGATGGGCAGCGACAAGGCGGCCGTCGCCGCGGCCGCGTCGGGGCTCATCGCAGCCGCCACGCGCACAGATTTTTCGAATGAGGCCGTCCTTTTGACGACGTTCATCACAGCATGCTTCCGCTCTGACGCGGCAGAAGAACTCGCGGCAAGCCCGGCAGGGCCGGCGACCGCTGCTGCGGCGGGGGCCACGGGGCAGCCGCTGCAGGCCGCGGTGGACGCCCTCCCCAGCATTGTGGCGGGCGTGGTTCATCTGCTGGCTTCAACGAGGGCGGACCGGCCGGTGTTCGAACTCCACGTCCTTGCCACCCTCATGGTCTGCTCTGCAGTCAAGGAGCGCGCAGCAGGTGGGTGCCCTGCCATGGCCCCTTAGAAGTGCACCCGGTTTCAAGCGATGAGTTCCTTCGGTCGGCCTGGTCGGGAAGTCGGCAGTGCTTGGAGGTCACCTGCCCGGGCCGATCAGAATCCAATCTCACAAGGGCTGTGGCGGGCACCACGCGACTCAACCTGTGGGCATGAACCTGCATCCCACGCAACGCCCCCTCCCCTTCCGGCTCCCAACCCCACCACCCACACAGACCTGCTGGTAGACGCCGGCGGCGTGCAGCAGCTGTGCCGCTTCCTGCTGTCAACCACCGATGAGGTCGGGGGCTGCGCTGTCCAACGGCGTCAAGCAGTGATGATCTTGCACAGCCTGGCATCCACGTCGGTGCGACCCCAGGCGGCGCTGACCGCCACGCCAGCCCTTCTGGCGGCCATCGGGCGCCCTGGGGTCGCGGGGACCAAATTTGGGCGTGAGGCCGTCGCAGCCCTCGGGTGCCTCTGCACCCTCGGCAGTGAGAGCCGGGCGGTGCTCACGCGCCTGCTGGCGGGCTCTGCAGCTGCGCGGAGGGGCCTCTTGGAGCACCTGCACGCGACCGATCAGCCTGACAGCGGCCCTGTGCACGCTGCCAGCTGCCACCACTTCCTAGGAGCCAGCCACCTGCATGAGCATCAATTTGTTGGCGAATTTACATCCGCCGTACACGCAGCCGCCCTTATTCGTGATCTGCTGCTGGATCCCGCGATCGATGCCGATCACGCGCGCGCCATCTCCACCTCGCTGCTGCCCGCGGCCGCGGCAGCCACGCAGCGCTTCCTCAACGCGCTGCTGGCCGCCACCGCTGACCAACCCAGCGACTGCGTTCGAGCTGCATTGTGGGCCCCCCACCTTGCTGATGCTGTGGAGGCAGCGTGCATTCACTCGGGCGACCCTGTCGCAGCTGCTACTGTGTTGTCCGACGCAGCCCCAGGGCATGGGCCGGCCCTGAGCCAGCTCTTGGTCGCCCTCGACTCATCACCGGAAGAAGGCTGGGCTTCTTTTGGAGACCGTGAGATCCAAGCGCGCCGCGTGCTGGGCAGCCCAAAGGCGGTCGCTGGCCGCCTCTTTGAGCTGCTGCAGGATGTCGAGCGGAGAAGGGGGCGGTGGCAGCAGCACCAGCAGCAGCAGGTGCAGGAGGACAAGCCGGAGCCGCAGCAGCATGAGCACGAGCAGAAGCAGCAGCAGCATGAGCACGTGCAGGATCAGCAGCAGCAGCAGGATCAGCAGCAGCAAGAGCAGGAAAAGCAGCAGCAACATGAGCAGCAGCAGGAGCAGCAGCCGCCGTTGCCAGCCGCTGCCCCACCTGCATCAGCTGTGTGCTCCGGCTGCGGTGCGGTCGGGGCGGCTGACAGCAGCGGCATGCGGCTGCGGCTCTGCCGCGGCTGCCGGCAGGTGCGCTACTGCAGCGAGGAGTGCATGAGGCTGCACTGGGCTAGCCACCGCCCTGCCTGCAAGGCGGCACAGGCGTTGGCTGCCTCATGACCGCATGGCGCAGGAGTCCAGGGGATCTAGAATGAGGAATTTCATCGTCATCTGTATGCACTCATACCCATGGGGTGTTTTTGGTGCTCAACCAACCCTCACATCAAAGCCATATGCGATGGTGGCATGCGAGGCACGTGCATGTGATGATGACAATGTGGCACAACAATTGTGTTGTGAGACGTTTCCAAGCACAATGTCTTGAGACTATCACAGTGCAATAGAATAGAAGTCAATCGACTGCATGGTTGAGCCTTTGTGACAAATCGTTCCTCCAAAAGCTAGGGGGGTGTACAGCCGTTTGTCTGTAGCACAATGGAGGCATTTTTGGGGCAGAGCGGGGAGCTGTGTGGCCGGGGGGTGCACATGGTCTCTGAGCTTGCAGGTAGCGCTGAAGAAGAGCTGCGTGCTCTCGGTATGCCCTGCAAGGCGATTTTTGTCCCCAGCCGTCTGGCCAGACTTGAGAGGGAAGCCAGCATTTGACCCTTGGCCCTGACAAGCAGATGGTCACAAAAGTGGAGGGGTCACGCTGCAAACAGAAACAGCGGAATGTGCAGCTGCGTGGTGGGACATCGCCTGCCCACCATTTGCAGCTGGCCGAGCAGCACCCCGCCCTTGGCTGCTGGCCGCCTAGCTGCTGCGGCGCCTGCGCCTTTGGCGTCCCTCCTTCTGAGCTATTCTTTGAACGGTCCAGGCCAGCACGCGCAGCACGCACAGCACCACCGCCAGTTGTGATAACGTGCCATAAGCAGACAGTTCCCGAATTTTGAAGGCTGCAGATAATTTTGGGATCTCAATGCGTAGACGTGCGAAGGTTTTGCAGCACAACTCCCGGCAACCGCAGTACGGCCAGATCACCATTCCGGATCATATAGTCTGCAACAGCTCAGCAAGTGGCCATAATATGGTGTCATCCGCCCTCGACCGTGCAGTCCGCCGCGCCCTGGCCCTCAAGCGCATGCTGCAGCGCAAGCCAGATGCAGCAGCCACGCTCTGCGAGGTGGCTGCTGCCATCGCAGACATCCAAGCGGCCGCACTCGAGGACTCCTCAAGCCTGCTGTCGGAGCCGCTGGTCCAGGGATTAATGCAACTGCTCTCAAGCGGCACTGCGGCGCAGGCGGCATTTGCCACCGCCGTCCTCTGGTGGACTCTCCTGGCACCACCCGTGTCCTCGATTGACGACTTCAGGATGCCCCAGGCGCGCGGAGCCAACCACCTCAAACAGTGCAGTAGCAGTGTTGTGAGGGTGGTGGCCATTGGCTCACATGATCGGTACTGAGGCGTGACGCACGCCGCAACTGGCTCTCTCACACACAACACGCAATTCCGTGTGTCGCCCTTGTCCCCAAACCCCCCCTCCAGCTCGCCACCTGGCCGGGGCTGATTGAAGCCCTGGTGGCCGCCGCGCGGCGCCACCCAGGCCCTGTCAGCTCTGGTGGCTTCCTGCCGCTCGACATCATTGTCCCAGGCCTCCTCAGTCGTTTCTGCCAGGCCGAGGCCGGGCTGCGCGCCGTCCTATCTGTCGGCGGCGCGGGCGATGGCGGCGACGCCGTTGGCCTGCTGCTCAAGACCTTGACACGCGCGTATGCGGGAAGCCCATCTTGGCGTGCCACGGTGTTTGGTGATAGGATTGCAATCCTCCATGCCCTCGATCGCCTCGCCCTGGACAGCCCGGCGGTGTACGCCCGCATGGGCCGCGACAAGGCGGCCGTCGCCGCAGTCGCTTCGGCGCTCAGCGCAGCTGCTGCACCCACAAAATTGTCCGACGAGGCAGTCCTTTTGACAACGCTCATCGTGGCATGCTTTTCCGGTGTGGCAGGTCAGCCGCAGCAGGCCGCCGTGGACGCTCTCCCGAGCATTGTGGCGGGCGTACTGCATCTGCTGGCTTCCCCGAGGGCCGACTGGGCGGTGTTCGAAGTCCACGTATTAGCCTGCCTGATGGCCTGCTCTGCCGTCACGGAGCGCGCAGCAGGTGGGCGCATTTGCTGACACATCGCGACCTGTCCCTTCCAATCGCATCGGGGCTCCAAGCAACGAGTCCTTCAGTCTAGCTAGCGTTGTTGGGGTGTGGGCAGTGCTCCAAGCTCACCTGCTCAGCTACTCCTGAGCCGATCAGGCCCGCTGTAACAAGGTTCGTGGCGGGCACCACGTGATTCAACACAACAACATGTACCTGCACCCCACGCAACGCCCGCTTCTGTTCCGGCTCCATACCCACCCACACACCCGCAGACCTGCTAGTGAAGGCCGGCGGTTTGCAGCATCTGTGTCGCTTCCTGCTGTCCACCACAGATGAGGACAGGGACTGCGCTTCTGTACGACTCCAAACACTCACCGTCTTGCACAGCCTGGCATCCACGTCGGTGCATGCCCAGGCATCGCTGACCGCTACGCCAGCCCTTCTGGCCGCCATCGGGCGCCCTGGGGTCGCGGGGACAAAATTTGGGCGTGAGGCCGTCGCCACGCTGGGATGCCTCTGCACCCTTGGCAGTGGGAGCCGTGCGCAGCTCACGTGGCTGCTGGCGGGCTCCGCAGCTGCGCAGAGGGGCCTCTTGGAGCACCTGCACGCGACCGATCAGCCTGACAGTGCCCCCGAACACGCTGCCAGCTGTCACCAATTCGTAGGAGCCAGCCACCTGCATGAGCACCAATTTGTTGGCGAATCTACATCCGCCGTACACGCAGCCGCCCTTATTCGTGATCTGCTGCTGGATCCGTCGATCAATGTCGACCACGCGCGCATCATCTCCACTGCGGTGCTGCCCGCGGCCGCGGCAGCCACGCAGCGCTCCCTCAACGTGCTGCTGCCCGCCGCCGCGGCCGACCCCAGCGGCCGCGTTTGCACCGCATCGTGGCCGCCTCAGCTTGCCGATGCCGTGGAGGCGGCGTGCGCCCATTTGGGCGACCCTGTCAAAGCTGCTGGTTTGGTGTTGGACGCCACGCCAGGGCTTGGGCTGGCTCTGGGGCGGCTCTATGTTGCCCTCGAGTCAGAACCAGGTGAACGGTGGGCCTCTCATGGAGACCGCGAGAGCAAAGCGCGCCGCGTGCTGGGCAGCCCCAAGGCGGTTGCTGGCCGGCTCTTCGAGATGCTGCAGGAGGTCGAGCGGGGGCGGCGGCGGCAGCAGCAGGAGCAGGAGCAGCAACAGGAGCAGCAGCAGCAGCAGCAGCAGGAGCAGGAGGACAAGCAGCAGCAGCAGCAGCATGAGCACGAGCAGAAGCAGGAGCAGGATCAGCAGCAGCAGGAGCAGGAAAAGCAGCAGCAACAGGAGCAGCAGCAGGAGCAGCAGCCGCCGTTGCCAGCCGCTGCCCCACCAGCACCAGCTGCATGCTCCGGCTGCGGTGCGGTCAAGGCGGCTGGCAGCAGCGGCGTGCGGCTGCGGCTGTGCCGCGGCTGCCGGCAGGTGCGCTACTGTGGCGAGGAGTGCATGAGGCGGCACTGGCCTGAACACCGCTGTGCCTGCAAAGCGGCACAGGCGTCGAAAGCCTCATGACCGCATGGCGCAGGAGTCCAGAGGATCTAGCACGAGTAATCTTGAGGTCATTTATGCAATCTTACCTGTGGGTTGGTTTGGGCGCCCAACCAATAGCTTTATGCAATGATGACACAGGCAGCATGTGCGCGTGATGAGGACATGACAATGTGACACAGCAAATGAGTCATGAGACGTTTCCAAGCACAATGTCTAAGGCCGTCAAAGATCAATATTGTAGGAGGAATTGGACTGCATGTTTGAGCCTTTGAGAAAAACTGTACCTCCGAGCTAGGGTTGTGCATAGCCCTTTTTCCTTAGCACAATGGAGGTACGGATGAGACAGGGCGATGAGCTGTGCGGCAAGAGGCATTCAAACTCCCTGAGCTTGCGCGGGAGCGCAGAAGAACAGTTGCGCGCTCCCGCAATGCCCTGCAAGACATCAATTCTCCCCTGCGGTTGGGCCAGACTCGAACAGGGAGCCAGCACATGACCCTAGGCCCTGCTAAGCAGACGGCCACGAGTTGAGGGTTTCAGTTGCATCCTGAAACAGCCGAAGGTGCAGCTGGTGGGACATCACCTGCCTGCCAGTTGCGGCTGGCCGAGCACAGCACGAGCAGCACCCCGACTTGGCTGCTACCGGTAGCTAGTGAGCTGCTGCAGCAGTTACGCCCCTCCCCGCCATGCTTTGGGTGCTGAACACCAGCACAAACAGCACGTGCAGCAGCACTGTCTGCTACCATAACCTGCTAAAATCTGAGCTGCGAAACGCTGCAGATTCATCAGGATCCTAACGAAGACTATGCAGCACGATCTCCGCCGACCAGTACGCTCAGATCACCACTCCAATCAAACAATATAGTTGCAGAACCTCGGCAGGTGGCGACGATGTGGTGTCAGCCGCCCTCGACCGCGCCATCCGCCGCGCCTTGGCCGTCCAGCGCGTGCTGCAGCGCAAGCCAAATGCAGCAGCTACGTTTCGTGCGATGGACGCTGCCATTGCAGACATCCAAGCTGCGGCTGTGGCTGACCCCTCGAGCCCGCTGCCGGAGCCGCTGGTCGAGGGTTTGATGTATATGCTGTTGAGCGGCACAGCGAGGCCGGCGGCGTTTGCCGCCACAGCCCTTCGCTGGACCCTGCCACGACCATCCTCCTCTGGCAACGGCTCAAGGCTGCTACAGGCGCGCGGAGCCAACCAGCTTGCACAGAGCATCAGCAGTGTTGTGCGGGTGGCGGCCATTGGGTCACATGGTCGGGGCTGAGGCGTCGACACGCGGCAAACGATCCCTTGTGTCGCCACTGCCCTGACAGCTCGCCACCTGGCCAGGACTGATTGAAGCCCTGGTGTCCGCCGCGCGGCGCCACCCCAGCCCGGTGGGCGCTGGTGGCCTCGTGCCGCTGGAGGCCAACGTCTCATGCCTCCTGAACCACTTCTGCAACGCGGCGGCTGGCCGGCGCGCCGTCCTGTCTATCGGCGGCGCGTGCGACGGCGGAGACGCCGTGGGGCTGCTGCTCGACCTTTTGGCGCGCGCGTTTGCGGGCGGCCCCCCTGGGTGCGACACGCTGAGTGGTGACAGAATGCCTATCCTTCATGCCCTCAACCACCTCGCGCTGGACAGCCCGGCCGCACGCGCCCGCATGCGCCGCGACAAGGCGGCCGTCGAGGCGGCCGTGTCGGGGCTCAGCGCGGCTGCCGCAGACCCAAGCTTGCCGGACGAGGCCGCCTTGCTGATGGGATTTGTGGCGGGGTGCTTCGCTCCTGATGGGGAGGAAGGGCCCGCGGCACGCCCGGTGGTGCCGGCGGTGGGGCCGGCGGCCGCTGCTTCGGCAGGGGTCGTGGCGCAGCCACTGCAGGCCGCCGTCGACGCCCTCCCAAGCATTGTGGCGGGCATGGTGCAGCTGCTGGCTTCCCAGAGGGGCGAATTCGTGACGTACGCAGTCCATGTCCTCTTCTCCCTGGTGTCCTGCTCTGCGGTCAAGGAGCGCGTAGCAGGTTGGCGCCCTGCTGTCATGATGCCGGCTGCGCCTTGGACTCGCGTCGCGATTCCAGGCAACGACTGTTTGCAGTACAGTCAGCCTGTTTGGAGTGTCGACAGTGCTTGACAGCTCACCTGCCCCGCTGCTCTTGAGCCGATCGGGCTCAGTATTTGTTAAGACATGGCTAGCACCACTCAACAGACTCCGCACCTTGGAAAGCACCTGCTCACTGTTCAACGCCCCCTCCTCGTCCTCCCCCAACCCCACTACACACAAAGAACTGCTGGTGCAGGCCGGCGGCCTTCAGTACCTGTGCCGCTTCCTGCTGTCCAATACCAATGAGGACAGGGACTGCGTTGTCGAACGGCTCCAAACACTCGCCATCTTGCACAGCCTGGCGTCCACGTCCGTGCGACCCCAGGCGGCGCTGACCGCCACGCCAGCCCTTCTGGCCGCCATCGGGCGCCCCGGGGTCGCGGGCACCGACTTTGGGCGCGAGGCCGTCGCAGCACTCGGTTGCCTCTGCACCCTCGGCAGTGAGAGCCGTGCGCAGCTCACGCGGCTGCTGGCGGGCTCTGCAGCGGCGCAGAGGGGCCTCTTGGAGCACCTGCGCACCGACGACCAACCTGCAAGCGGCCCGAGAGTCGCCGTCAGCTGCCAGTGCGGAGCTAACGAGCGTCACTTCCCCTTCAGGTTCATATCCTCCGTCCGCGCGGCAGGCCTCGTTCGCGATTTGCTGCTGGATCCCTCGATTGATGCCGATCACGCGCGTGCCATCTCCACCACGGTGCTGCCCGCGGCCGCGGCAGCCACGCAGCGCTTCCTCGACGCGCTGCTGGCCGCCACTGCCGACCACCCCGGCAGCATTCCTGCCACAGCATGGCCGCCTCAGCTTGCCGATGCCGTAGAGGCGGCGTGCATCCAATTGGGCGACCCCGTCGCAGCTGCTACTTTGTTTTCCGACGCCGCGCCAGGGCTTGGGCCGGGCCTGGGACGCCTCTTGGTCACCCTCGACCCAGCACCGGAAGGAGGGTGGGCCTTCTCGCAAGACCGCGAGAGCAAAGCGCGCCGCGTGCTGGGCAACCCAGAGGCGGTCGCTGGGCATATCTTTGACCTGCTGCAAGAGGTTGAGCGGCGGCGGCGGCGGCAGCAGCAGGAGCAGCAGCAGCAGGAGCAGCAGCAGCAGGAGCAGCAGCAGCAGGAGCAGAAACAGCAGCAGCAGGAGCAGCAGCAGGAGCCGGAGCAGCAGCTTGAGCAGCAGCAGGAGCAGGAGCCGCAGCATGAGCAGCAGCAGGAGCTGGAGCAGCAGCATGAGCAGCAGCGGCGGCGGCAGCAGCAGCAGCAGCAGCAAGAGCAGCAGCGGCAGGTGCTGCAGCCGCCGTTGCCGGCCGCCACCCCACCAGAACCGGCTGCATGCGCCAGCTGCGGTGCGGTCGAGCTGGCTGGCAGCGGCGGCGTGCGGCTGCGGCTGTGCCGCGGCTGCCGGCAGGTGCGCTACTGCGGCGAGGAGTGCATGAGGCTGCACTGGGCCAGCCACCGCCCTGCCTGCAAGGCGGCTCAGGGAGTGGCTGCCTCGGCAAAGGGTGGTGGATGAGCTGGGCGCGAGAGGAATACTCGCATCAGCTTCCTCGCTGTTTGAACGCATGCATTCTTTCCGACATTGTTCAGTGGACCTTCTGACAAATCCTCACGTAATTCTGACAGGTGGTGTAACACAGCAAGACAGGTGTAAGGATTTGAGTCACCAAGGTGCATAGATCAAGCGATGATGATGACAGATACTCATGCTGATGTGTGGAAGGATTGGGGTGAATGGAGGTTTTGGCAGGGGTGTTTGGCATTGTTGCTTGATTTTGGGCCTGGATTGACAACTTCAGTTGCAAAACAACCTGAAGGCGCGGATCGTTGCTGAAGCAGGGCATTATAGGATGGCACAACCCTGGGGGAAGGCTGAAACAGTCGAGGGAACAATCAAAGGCTGCCTGAAGGTCAAGCCGCAGCCCTGCGTGAGCATGAGCGAGCCCCGCCGTAGCAGCCAGCGCTGGGTGCGGGTGAATGGAAGGCGGCGGCGCCAGTCTGCCTGCGCAATCTCAGCGCGCAAACACAAACAGGCCGTGATCCCGCAATTATTGGAGTGAATTCGTGCACGAAGATGGCGTAGGCAGCTTGCCTGTCGCTTTGAAAAGGGGCGACCAATCGTAGTTTCATGCCAGACGGTGGGCGCCGGGCAGCGCCCAACCGCCGCAGAGGCGCCCCCCACCTGTGCAAGCGCCGCGCACGCGGCCCCCGCAAGCTACAGCGCGGCTGCCGGCCCCTCGCCATCGCCGCCACTGGTGGCGGCGCTGCCCACCAAGCCCGGCCGCAGGGCGGCAAGCACCTCAAGTGCTGCCCTCAGCCCCGCGTCCAGCGCGCCCTCAAAGTACCCCACCCACCGCGCCGCCGCCTCGCTCCCAGCAAAGTGCACGCCGCCGGCGGCCCGGCCGGCCGCGGCCGCGCCCGCGCGCGAGAGCAGGCCCGGCGGCGTGAGGCCGCCGAAGCAGCCGCCGCTGAAGCGCTCCGACATCCATTCTTTCACCACAAACAGCTCCGGCTCGGCCGCTTCTGGCGCCCCAAAGTATTCCGCATACTGGCCGAGCACCGCCGCCCGCTGCCGCCCCTCTGGCAGCGCCGTGAACGCGCGCGCGTCCGCGCCCGTGACCAGCCCCACGAGCGCGGGCCGCCCGCCGTAGTCCCCCGGGAACAGGTTCGCCACCGGCCCGCACTCCTCGAGCCGCCTGCCGCCCGCGCCGCCGCGCGCGCGGCGCGGCGGCCGGCGCGGCGCGTCCCTCACAACCTCGTCGTCCGCGCCGCCGGCACCACCGCCTGTGCTGCTGTCCGCCTCTTCGCCTTCGAGCGCCCAGAAGCGCTGCGGGTATATGGCCAGCACCTTGGCCACGCAGCCCATGACCATTGACTCCGCCAGCAGCCGGTGGTCCTCAGGCAGCTGCGGGTCAAACGCGACCTGCTTCCACACGGGAGGCGGCATGGCCACAACGACGCGGCGGGCCGTCAGGCTGAAAGGCTTGCCGCTGCCCTCGACGGTCCCTGCAACAGTGTACACACCTGGTTCGTCGCTGCCACATTCAATGTGATTCTGAGCGGCGGCGGAGTTGTAAGCTGAATGGGCGACGGACTCCACAATATGTGACAGCCGCACCTCCCCGCCGCCCGCGCCCGCGACCGCCGCCGCGAGCCCGGCGGCCATCTGCTGCGCGCCGCCGGCCAGCCGCCACTGCTGCGCGCCGCCGTCGCCGTCGCCGAGCGCGCGGAGGCCGCCGGCGGCCCTTATGTACTTTAGCAGGAAGAGGAAGGACGGCTGGCGGGGGTCTGCTGCCAGCACCGTCTGGACGAAGAGCAGCATCTCCCGCAGAGCACCCGGGCTGCGGCACATGGACTCGAGCTGCGTCTTGCTGCGGGTGTGCAGAGGTCGGGGATGGGGTGCGGGTGGGTTGGGGGGTGAGAAGAAGGGGAATTGGGGAGGTGCGCGGCGCACGTTGCGGACCGGGGCGCAGGGCATGCATGGTGTGCCGACGGGGGCAGCGTGCCGTCGCATGTGAGGGGCGCTGCGGCGGATGCCCAGCTGCTTGCTGAGCTGCAGCGGGGCGTTGCTCATGCGAACCCAGCCTGCTGCGCCCTGGCCAGTGGCGCTACCAAGCGAGCGCCCACCCTGTAGCCGGTGGGTCCCGCAGGCTTTGAGCCTCCCCCGTCGCTTGTTGATTGCAGCGCTGCTGCCTACAGCCCCTACTCTCCACCTCTCGCCCACAAACCCACCAGTCGACGGCGTCCCACTCGCGCGCCGCGGCGCCCCAGTGGGGCCCCTCCATCTCCGCCGACGCCGCCAGCTCGTCGAGCGTCCTCGTGACGTCATCCACCTCTGCAGCTTCCTCGTCACTCAGCGGTATGGCGCAGCCGGAGCTGAGGGACTCGCTTGTGACTGCGGCTTGCGGCTTCTTCGCACCTATGGTGGCGGCGGCTGCAGCAGCGGCCAAAATCTCTTCAGGGAATAATCCCACAGAATTTGAGGAGGCCTCGGGGCTGGGGTGGGAGGTGGCAGGCCACCAGGGCTGGCGCTTGAGGGAGAGGCCGAGCTCCTGAATGAGGGCGAGGGTGAGGGTCTGCGTGGGTCCGACCCACTGGCCGCCCACATCGTAGGCGTCTCCATTGAAGGGGATGCTGGGGGGTGGATTGGGGC